AAAGATGTTAAACTTATCGGGCGATATGCCTTTGCCTGGGCATACGATGGACGCCCTGGTTTAGGAATAAACGCCACGTTCGTCGATCTCCATGCCAGCGGTATATAACCAAGTGCAATGCTGGCTCTGAAGACGTGAATTAAAACCGGAGCTAGACAGTCCACCCCCTGCTGTAACAGTACAGGTAGGATTCCATCGTCTCCTGGTGATTTAAATGGGTCAAAAGAACTTATTGCCCATCTTATTCATGACTGACTCACCACCGTCTTGGCAACCTCCCAGCTCTGTCGAGACCCGGTCGTTACCCTCTGCTGGTGATCCCAGTCATGTTCATCTCCATGGTTTAATAACCTGGAGCCTGGAAAGTGAGTATTTAGAAATAATTCCAATGTCTCCCTTCCAGTTTTAGTATATTCCCCACTCGGTGCTTTAAGAGACCCGAGTTTCGTATTTCCATTCTTAGAGAGAAATCTCTGGAGTTTAGCACACTGTGAGACACTGTCTATATCCTCACAGAACTTCCTCCATGAGTCTCTTCGCTTTCCTAATTTCTTTATTATACTCAGTGAGGGTTGCTCTATAAGTCTCCCACTCTCCTGTCCGCTTTGCTCTATTAAATAGTTTTCTTGTCTGTCCCCTCAACTGCGTGAGTTCCTTGCTCCACCAGGGTACGGTGTGCTTATCGGACCTCACTTTGATAGGACAGCTGTATTCATATGATCTTGTGACGGCGTTTTGGAGTTCCTCCACGGCCCTCTCAAGATCATATGTGTTCCTTAGTTTTGTACAGATTTCCCTAGTCCTGGCCTGTAACTCCGTTCTATAGGAGTCCCAGTCAGTTCTTTTTGGGTCTCTGTAGGTTCTTACTTGCGGATTATAATCCGTTATAATTTCAAAGTGGATATGTCTATGATCCGACATTGACGGCTCATTCGACACATGCCACCTCGCAATATTATTACATATCGGTCCCGATCCCACTGTTATATCGATGACTTCACTTCTATTTTTTATAACAAAGGTGGGCTCGTTCCCGACATTCAAAATCTCTAGATTATAACTAAAAAGAAAATCTAGTAAAGACTCACCTCGATCGTTGACATCGCTGCTTCCCCACACCGTATGGTGTGAGTTAGCATCACATCCCACGATGAGTTGTTTCTTCTCCTTCTCGCACCAGGCCACCAGGTCCCTCAGTTCCCTGGTTGGAGGAGATTCTTTCTTATCGTAAGGGAGGTACGCTGAGCAAACTACCAGTTGTCTCTGCGTTCCCTCCGATACATAAGTCACTTCGGCCGCCACCAGGTCATCCGTGCAGAACCCTGGAAGAGGAAAAATATTAATACTACTCTTGTAATAAATACAAGCTCTAGGTCTAGTTTGGTGGCCACAATACAGTAAGCCACCATTACTTACCTGCAATCCTCTGATCCGGGATCCATGTACCCAAGGCTCCTGGATCAAAGCTAAATCCGCATTTGCGCGCGCCACACTGGCACAGAGAGCAGCAGATGCCGCTCTACTGTGCTGAATGTTCGCTTGTATTACCTGGAATTTGACCAGATAATACAGATTTTGGTCCCTCCTGATCTTCATCAGAAGGTCCCAAATCTACCCTGCCCTTCTCCAGGTTCCTAAAAAGGACCCTGGTGAAGTTCAGAAATGGTCTGAAGCCCTCCTTCTGAAGTACCTTCACACTCATCTCATCTACTGAGAGGACTAGGGTCTGGCCCTTCACCTCAACCTTGCGGTTGATTAGCCTCCAGGCCCCCGTCCTCAATTCCCCGTTCTGGTTTTCCAGACGGCGCATGATGGTTTCCGGTTCATCAGGATGACCCGGAATCCACACGATGAACTTAGTGAACTTAGGTAGGTCCCTAGGCTCAACAGCGCTGAGTCTAGCCCCCTCCCAAGGCACCAAGCTCGCCGTGGTCATCTTCAGCCATTGCAGGCTCTCCTCGTTGAAGGCGGTGATCGCTAGCGTTCCCCCCCTTCGACGACACTCCAGGAAGCGCGGTCGTGTACCCTCGCCCGCGATCCCATCAATGGCCCCCAGAAGCGCCGACTGGACAAGTCCCATCTGGTCCTCATCCATTCGGACCTCCGGGTATCCATGGGGGACCACCACTGCTTGGATCCCCGACAGCGCCTCCCCGTAAGTCTTGCCACGCTGTCCCGTGGCCTTAGGCCTCTTGGAAACAGGCCGGTCGGAAATCGGCTCACTACCGTCCGACCGTCCACGTTTCTTCCCGAGTCCACTTGGCCCCGGTTCAGCAGCCTGCGGAGTTAGAGTGGTACTTGAGCCAGGTTCCGTCACCGGCCCCTGTCCTTTTCCCGCCTCTGCCTTCCGCAGTTTTTTAAGTTTGCGCTTTTGCGCACCAGACAATTGTGTCCTACCTTCCAGGTTCAGTCTGTCGACTCCCCTAGAGATAGCAGTCCCTGGTGTTTGCTTCCCAGTGGCTGTTTTATTTTCCGCCCGGTCAGCAATTACTGCTTCCCCTTCAGATGTAGACGGCCCCCTTACGGGTTCCTGTTTTTTTTATTCTTGGTCCATAAAGGTCCCACGAGTCTGGAGGAAATAAAAGTCGCCGCCAGGCAGTGCCCCATGCCTGAGGGAAGGCTAAATACGATGGGGTGCGCCAGGTTCCCCAAAGAGATCGTTTACGTTGCGACATTTTTACCTACCCCCGCACCATTCAGCCCTCGGCACGATGTATTTCCACCTTGGCTTGGGTAGCTGAGCTGTTTCTTAATTTTCACTACTCTCCCTCGACCTTTCCGGCTTGGGTGACCCTGCCAGGAGTATGAAACTCCCGCCGGTTTAGCTCTTGGGTTCACTGTAGCTACTTAAGCCCCTCCACCAACGACAAGGTCATACAGCTCCCAGGAGGGGTTGATGATACCTGCCCATACATTCACTTTCTGTGGATGCTGCGTGTGCGATTCGCATGTCCAGTGTGGATTTTCCTAGGACCAAAAGCGATACTTGTGCCTATTAACCACTCCATTTAAATAAAACTTAGCTTCATCCGAAAAAAGTACGTCTCGTTGAAAACCATTATTGTCGTCACACCGTCTCATCATTTCCTCACAAAATTGTAATCGCCTATCATAATCGTCTTCCAAAAGCTCTTGGACAAGATATACCTTATAGGGGTGATATTTCTCGTTTCAGAAACATTCGAATTGCAGTTCGAGAAGCATCGTGATTGAGGGCCAATGAAACAGTTGAAGTATGAGGATTTTCAACGTCTAATTTGCAATGTCTAATTTCTTTTCTTCATTCAAAGCACGTCCAGTTTTGGGCAAAGTCTGTACTGTACCGTGTTCCTCAAATTTGTGAAATATTTTACTAACTGCCCCTTGCGAGATTTGATTTTCGGGATATTTCGCATTAAATAAATCGCGCACTTCAGCCTGACTTCTTATTGTGTCTCCATATCCAAGCAGTATCAAAATTTCGATACGTTGCCTTTCCGACAATACTATTGCAATTCAGTAAATAACTTGATTTTGACACAATAGTAACGTTTTGACTAAACTAAAGCGAAAAATTTACCAGAAAGCCTGGCAAGTAAGTGGTGCCAAAAAAACGCTACATAAAAAATATATATTTTTTGTGTTAGCAGTTAAGTACAGTTTCAAACTCTTTATTTTATTCTGTGCAAATTCATGGAGGATAACACTGAAGATAATTAAATTTTATTTCATTTGTTAAATAGGTGTTTTATACAACCCTAAAAACCTTGCTATTGAAAAAATAAAACTTGTTTATTTGGTATGGCTGGATTCGGTTTTCTATAAGCTTTTCAACGAGCCCCCTCATGCCTTATATTTCCATTTGAAAAAAAAAGTAGGGGTAGCTGGGGGTTAGGGGGTTGAAGAAAAATTAATTATTATATAACCGAAATATGGGAAAAAATCAAAATCAGTTAACGTGTTTCGGCGTTTTAAAAAAAATTAACTCATTCAAAAGATATGAATTTTATTCCGTACTTCTGGCCATTCCTGTGTACAGGGTGATTCATTAACAATGGGAAAGTCGAAAGCTGAAGATACTACACGTGAAATGGTGACCATTGGCGCAAACATGCCTTATCCGAAAGTTGATAGTTTCGGAAATACAGGGTGTTGAAAGTTAAAATTTTAAATTTATTTTATTATTCTGAAAATATGTAGGTTAGGAACTTGAAAATTTTTGAAACTATATTTTTTTAGGCGACGAACAAGATGCGTGTTGTAATTTCAGCATTACTCGTAGAGAGCGCCACTTACGACCAATTTTACCGAAAATTTAGTTAATAACTTTTTACCCTGTATATTTAACATGAAACTTGATTCAAAACCTGAAAGAGCTATCATTTTTCCATTAATTATGTACTCTTGTTTCATTTCGGTATCGATCCGTTTTCGAGAAAAATCGATTTAACGAACACTATGTTTTGATAATAGGAGAAATTAAAAGCGAAACAAACCAAGTGTTATTCCAACAATTAACAATAAAACAAATAAAATACGTAATTATGATTTAAAGTAATTGTTCGAAGAATCCACCGTTGACACTGATATACTTTACACGTTTTCTGAGAGATCTTCGAGTTTAAAACAACATATTGGGATTACGTCTGACTTCATTGGCAGTGATTTGTATTATTTGCCACAACTCTTCACACGAGCCAATAGATTCTTTGTAAACTATATCTTTCATTCGAGACCAAATAGAAAAATCGAGAGGATGGAAGTCCGAACTTCTGGATGGCTAAGCAAAAATGCTTAGATGGCCAATCCAGCGATTTGGAAAAACTGCATCTAAATATGCACGCACTGGCCAAGAAAAATGTGGTGGAGCTCCGTCGTGCATGAACCACATCTCTTCTCAAATAAAGTGGAACTTCTTCAAACCGTGGAAGCATTTTTACTTGGCCACCCAGAAGTCCGGACTTCAATCCTCTTCATTTTTCTATTTGGAAGAATCTATTGTAAAGAAGAATCGTGTAAAGGGTTGTGACAAAGAATACAAATCGCTGCCAACGAAATCAAATGCAATCCCAATATGTTGTTTGAAACTCGAAGATCTCTCAGAAAACGTTGTGTAAAGTGTGTAAATGTCAACGGTGGATTCTTCGAACACTGACTTTAAATCATTATTACTAATTTCATTTGTTTTATTGTTAATTGTTGTAATAACACGAAGAAACACTTGATTTGTTTCGCTTTTAATTTCTCCTATTATCAAAACATAGTGTTCGTTAAATCGATTTTTCTCGAAAACGGATCGAGATACCGAAATGAAACAAAAATAATAATGGAAAAATTATTGCTCTTTCAGGTTTTGAATCAAGTTTCATGTTAAACATACAGGGTAAAAAGTTATGAACTAAATTTTCGATAAAATTGGTCGTAAGTGGCGCCCTCTATGAGGAATGCTGAAATTATAACACACATTCGTCGCCTAAAAAAATATAGTTTCACAAATATTCAAATTCCTAACCTACATATTTTTAGAATAACCGCAAAAAAACGATTTAAAATTTTAACTTTCAACACCCTGTATTTCCGAAACTATTAACTTTCGGATAAGGCATGTTTGCGCCAATGGTCACCATTTCACGTGTAGTATCTTCAGCCTTCGATTTTCCCATTGTTAATGAATCACCCTGTATATACAGGGTGTCCGGAAATGATGAGCAAAAAATTCAGGGGATAATTCTAAACCGAAAATAAATCCTACCTCTTTCTATAAAATTTTTTTCAAAACTGATTATTAACGGAGTTACAGGGTGTTAAAGTTAAATTTTATTTGCAGTTTTTTTGCAATATCTTTTGCCACACTCATAAAATTTTGACGAAATTTCGTATATGGGGGTTTTTCGGGATGAGGATTATAATTTTTCCCACCGTTTTTTCGCATTTTGTAGAGAGCGCCACATACGAGCCTTTATTTTGATTTGAATGGTTCCAACTTTTTTGTGCTACACTTTATGCGACTTTTGACTGAATATGTTTGTTCTCCTAACCTTTTGACATAAAAAAGGTATACTTTATTTGTTTCGATAAATCTAACCGTTTTCGAGAAAAACGCTAAAATAACATTGCTTGCATGTGATGAATACGAAATCATTTTAATTTATTTTCTACATTAAACATAGCATGCTTTGGAAACAAGCGCTTAGTTGCCTTGGAAACAAGTTTGTGGAGAATTAGTTTTGACAGATAGTAATTTTGTACAAGTTCTTTTGTAGTAATTGTTATCATAAAAATAATAATAAAAATGAACAACAATTACTCTAACGTGGAGTTGCGGGACATGCATTATTATTACGGTTTAGCTGCTGGCAATGCTCTTGCAGCACGACGTTTGTATCGCGAAGCATTTCCAAATAGAAACCTACCCCAATCGCGAATGTTCAGTACTATTCATCGAAGACTGGGAGAATTTGGATCGTTCAAAACTAGAATTTTTGATGTAGGTCGACAACGGAATACTAGAACAGCAGAAGCAGAAGCTCGTATTTTGAATTCGATAGAGAATAATCCCAATGTAAGTATAAGAAAAATTGCTATTCAGGAGGGCATTCCAAAGAGCTCCGTACATGAAACAATACGCGAACAAAACCTTCATCCGTACCACTACCAAAAGGTGCAAGCCTTATCTGCCGTAGATCCTGCTGCTCGTGTGAATTTCTGCAATACAATTAGAATACTTCATAATGGTGACCAAAATTTTGTTCGTAATATCCTTTTCACGGACGAAGCTGGATTTGGCCATGATGGCTTAATAAACCTCCACAATGAGCATTTTTGGTCTGATGAGAATCCTAATTTATCAATAGAGCGTGGTTATCAAAATAAGTTTTCCGTCAACGTGTGGGCCGGTATTGTAGGGGACTACTTAATTGGGCCACATTTCTTTCCACAAAGACTCAATGGTGAAGTTTACTTGGATTTTTTAAGAAACCACTTACCTATTCTATTGGAAGATGTACCACTCGGATTAAGAAATGCAATGTGGCTGCTTCAAGATGGCGCGCCACCGCATTTTAGTTTAGCGGCCAGAGAATTCTTAAATGAAACTTTTCCTGAAAGGTGGATAGGACGCGGTGGTTTTGTACAGTGGGCCCCTAGATCCCCTGACTTAAACCCAATCGATTTCTTTTTTTGGGGCTATCTGAAGACGCTTGTATACAGGACACCTGTGAATAGCGTCGATGAACTGAGAGAAAGAATTGTTGCTAATTGTGAGGTAATTAAGCAAAAGGAAGGAATATTCCATAGAGTTCGTCGGAATTTTTTAAGAAGAATTAATTTATGCATTGAAGAGGAAGGACGTCACTTTGAACCTTTGATTTGAATGTTTAATTTGTATTTGTATTGTTCTAGTAACTTATGTATTTTAACCTTATGATTTTGTTAGTAAACCATTCTTTATTTGTTGAGGACGTTATTTTTTTATTATTTATCATTAACCACCATCAGCGTAACAACAAATTTTCACAAAAATTACTATCTGTCAAAACTAATTCTCCACAAACTTGTTTCCAAGGCAACTAAGCGCTTGTTTCCAAAGCATGCTATGTTTAATGTAGAAAATAAATTAAAATGATTTCGTATTCATCACATGCAAGCAATGTTATTTTAGCGTTTTTCTCGAAAACGGTTAGATTTATCGAAACAA